CTTCCGTTCGCGTTCGCAGCTCCCACCGAATATTTCGCCTCTAACACAGACAAATTTATCTTTCCGGCTGAACATACGAACGTGTTACCCCTCGTTCGTTTCAATTTAATGCTTTAATGCTTCGTTCCACCGTTTGTCAAAGTCACATTCGTTCACCTTGTTGCACAATGGAGATATATCTCGTTATTTCACCAGCTCGAGTCTTGAATGGCATTACTGCCGGAAAGATTTAACAACAAAAACTGAAGCAATACGTACATGAAGAGAAACCAGAAGGAACATTATCTTCCGATCATGACTCTGTATATAGAACCTCCTCTGATCTTTAACCATCAAGTACTCATCATCGAACGACACAAAGAACCGTATGCTACCTTATATACCTGACAAATTGATAAACATTCCCGCGAAAGAATTCGATTATTAAAATATTTTTGACGCACAGAATTAGCAAACTAATCGAATCCTCACTGGGTCCCGCAATCTGTTGCTCTTCTCGCGGAATAATAAACGGTCCCGATTGACGTATCAAATCGGTCGCTATCGAGACAGCTCGTGCGTAACATCGACGAGACGAAACGTCGCGGTAGCACGAACAAAAATTCGTGGCCAAGATAAACCGCGACTCGTCCGTTCGTAGTCACGCACCGATATCCCGCGTCCGTAATTACGTGCCGTTGCTCCGCCATGTTTATTCGGGACAAAAACCGTAACTTTTGAACCACTCAGTTTTTTACCATCGATTGGGTGCGTAAAAAAATATACGCCTCCATTAATAAAAAGGTGAGACGATCTTGATTTTTTATTGAATAAATGGTTTTGTGGGAGTATTTTGCAAAAGTCATTTTGAACTTGATAAACATTTTACATAAAAAATGAAGACAATATTTTGCTTTATATTTGTCGATCTTATACTTTGATTTGTAGATTTTTGTCCATTGGTCGACGCACTGTCCACCGTTGGATAAAAAATATGCGTGTTAGCACTTTTCGCGGCTGGCCAGGCCAGGCTCGTATTTTAATCGAGGAGAGAGTTTCATGCAGATTCATGCAGCTATCATTACGCGTCGCCGGTTAACCGAATATTTTTTAATCGACATTCCATTACACGGAACAGAACGTTGTAAACAAAGTTAACCAACAGAAAAGTGTAACGATGGAAAAAAATGTTGCAACTGAAGCATGAATCTCTAGTGGAAAACGATTATTAACTGTGTTTTCATTCGTTTTTTCGATGCTCGAGTCTTTTTCCCAGCAGGTGATAATTACATCACGCGAACGCTAAATCGAATTTAAAATCACGCGTATTCCGAGTCACCTATCGTTCATTGTTCCTTCCCGCCTACGAAAATCTAAACGACCGTTTAACGAATCGCGGGAAAATGTTCCCGATGCGAATCCGATTACCGTGTTCCAGGAGGTCGAGTTTCTATGAGAGCCAACGAAATTGTGATTCGATGCAATTTCCCGCCTGTGCTTGTTGAGTAAATGTTACAGCTAATTCGGGACGCGTGCAATCGGTTAACTGATTGTGCAAACGGTGGTTGTAACGAGCTTTCGACAAATGATTGTATTATAGAAATGTTAATGGTAAGCTGTACGGTTATTCGAATAAATACGCGGGTAGTTAGAAAATATAGCAGTGGTTAAGGGTACAACTTATATAAATTGGTGTAATTAAAAGTTCTTTATTGCTCGTACACAAATAAATAGATCATTGAAAATTATAAATAGTACTTTATATTGTGCTTCTATAATTGGATACAAGAACGATTACACAACAGTTAATAAAAACCAAATTGCCTATACGTTTCCATGAGTGGCACAAAGAATATCCTGTCTCGTAGACTAAATAGAGGTGTCAATTAAGTCACATGAATATATTATACACACAAGAAACAGTTTACGAGCATGAATAATCAACTTCATGTACAAAGTTGACGGCGTGAAAGGCGGCAACGGTCGGAGGAGGAGGAGAAAACGATAAAAAGGGAACGCGTTTTGTCAGCGGTCTGCTAGACTAGCCTAATCAGCGGGGCTTGCAGTTGTCTACGCGGTTGGCATTACGCTACGCCTCGACTATGGAGTTTCGAGAGTTCCTCTCGCTGGATTCCATTCTCAAATAGATACAGACGAGATATAGTTACTCTCGGGAATACTTCTTTCGAGGTCACGTAATTTATCGACATTAATCTGAATTATACTAGAACAACTAAATTAACATACCAGTTGCTAATTTAAATACATCTTTTATACTTTCATTTTCTATACTTACATCTTTTTTCACTAGTGCTTACACAACCACTTCGCCTCCAATACCGCCGTTTTGTTTTTATTCTTCATGTGTGTCACTATTCGTCCCTAAGTTGCCAAGGATATTAGTATCAATCTGTGTGCTAGTTGCAAAGCTGTCAAGAGATTAGAGTAAAGGGTGAAGCACAGAGTAAAAATATCTCTTAATTCTGGCCCAGACCAGCAACAAAAAAGGCCGCCCTTTTCATCAATTAGGAATCAGTTACCCATGGATACGAAGTAGATAAAGCGATCAAGCACTCCCCCCGTCTTGTCCCTGAAAAATGTTTATTCGAAGTACCCCGACAATGGGGCGACGTGGAATTAATTCGACACTGACGCGCTTCGCTCCCGCCCTTCGGCCGCTCCGCCTCTCCCCACACCCACGCCACCGGAAATGCAGAAGCAGCACCCGACGGGGTAACAATGAATCCCAATAAACGGGGCAATTTTACGGTAACACAGGGAAAAACAGGGGGAGCCGTTCGCCACTGGTAATTCTCGTGATGGCGTAACGCGTTCCGGGGCTGGGATGCACTTTGCTCTAATGCACTCGGTCCCGCGACCGTCGACGGTGCGCAGCACGGGGACTTCGGGGATAATACGATAGCAATTTTAACCCTCCGCTCAGCTACAAATTAATACCTGTTTTAACGTTTCCATCCCTTCGCGACGTTGGCGATGTCATCGCTCTTTCGACGATTGAAATTGAACGATTGATATCAAAACGCCAGACAGTAGTTGCCTGAAAAAAAGTACTCGGAGAAATGTAACTTGGACCGACATGAATGAAGCGAATTTGTAAGTTCCTCCCGCGGGTACTATAAATCGTTCTCGAACAGAACCGCCCCATTCCATGGACGTCTTTAAACACCACTCTACAGTTCGTTGATGAATCTGGAGATACTCTCGGGCAATCTCTGCGGA